GACTTTTTTTTTTTTTTGGAGACAGATTCTTGCTCTGTCACCCAGGCTAGAGTGCAGTGGCACCATCTCGGCTTACTGCAACCTCCACCTCCCGGTTCAAGCGATTCTCCTGCCTCAGTCTCCCGAGTATCTGGGACTACAGGCATGCGCCACCACACCCAGCTAATTTTTGTATTTTTAGTAGAGATTGGATTTCACCATATTGGCCAGGTTGGTCTCGAACTCCTGACCTTGTGGTTCCACCCGCCTCGGCCTCCCAAAGTGCTGGAATTATAGGCGTGAGCCACTGCGTCCGGTCAGTTAATTTTTTTTTTTTGAGACAGAGTTTTGCTCTGTCGCCCAGGCTGGAGTGCAGTAGGGCGATCTTGGCTCACTGCAAGCTCCGCCTCCCGGGTTCACGCCATTCTCCTGGCTCAGCCTCCAGAGTAGCTGGGACCACAGGCGCCCGCCACCACGCCCGGCTAATTTTTTGTATTTTTAGTAGAAACAGGGTTTCACCATGTTAGCCAGGATGGTCTTGATCTCCTGACCTCGTGATCTACCCGCTTTGGCCTCCCAAAGTGCTGGGATTACAGGCGTGAGCCACTGTGCCCAGTCCTAGTTAATTTTTTAAAAGTTTTTTGTAGAGGCAAGGTCTCACTATATTGCTCAGGCAGGTCTTGAACTCCCGGACTCCCTCAAGTGATCCTCCCACCTCAGCCTCCCAAAGTAATAAAATTATAGGCGTGAGCCACAGCTCCTGGCCAAAGGAATTTCTACTTTTGAAAAATAAGGGTTCCTGGGAATTCCTTGCAATAAGTGGCCTTCACTTCAAATTTCAAATTCCTGGTTCCACTCCACGTTGTTTAGGAATCACTCCATCAGAGCTGCCGGTAACCAGTTCTGAAAGCAAGGTCAGTCTTTTCAGATGTTCCGTTTGGGTCAGATCTGATTCTCCACTCCAACCTGTGGAGATTTATTTCCTCTCCTGGCCAGTTGGGAAAAGGTGAGCTGGCATCCCCAGGCAGGCAAGACAAGGACAGAGAGTTCGGTGCATCTCCAGCATCCCCTTGCCTACTGCCCACGCAGGGGACACTTAGGGCTTCAGGGTTTGGTCCAAGGCTGAGAGGTGTCCGGCGACTCTGCACTGACCTTTTTTTTTCTTGAGACAGAGCCTTGCTCTGTCGCCTAGGCTGGAGTGCAGTGGTGTGACCTCAGCTCACTGCAACCTCCACCTCCCGGGTTCAAGTAATTATCTGCCTCAGCCTCCCAAGTAGCTGGGACTACAGGCAAGTGCCACCACACCTGGCTAATTTTTGTATCTTTAGTAGAGACAGGGTTTCACCATATTGGTCAGGCTGGTCTCGAATTCCTGACTTCAAGTGATCCACCCACCTTGGCCTCCCAAGTGTTGGGATTACAGGTGTGAGCCACCATGCTTGGCCTGCACTGACCTTTGAGAGTCACAGAGGCTGAGCCTCACCTGTGCCCTCTCTGCCTTCTTGCCATTCATCTGCCAGAGGCCACCCTTTCCGTATCTGGAGGGTCAGCTGAACCACACATGAGACCCAGATAGACCGGGAACTGGGAACCGAGAAAGGGTTAAGCATGGACATGGAGGAGTTGAGAGGCAGAAGCAAAGGAGAAAGTTAAAAATAGTGTTATTCAGCCTAGAGCAAGGAAGACAAGGGCACAGCTAGACTTCAGTTCATGACTGATCGGTTTGAGAATGATTCTTGCTTTTTTCCCCCTGCACTCTGAATAGGAAGAAGCTGACCTTCTGCCGCGGGAGACACTGGAGTTAGATGTTACCCAGTGTCCTGCGGCGACCAGATGCCAGAGTAGGAATCTAAGCTGAACGAGGCCCTGGGTCCTACTCTCTTGACACGTGATCTGAGGTGGCCTTGGGAACTCTACCTGTTCAGGAATGGGGGGGCTATGACCACAAAGCTTCTAGCTGCCAATTCTCACCAGGCCCCTGCTTGGTGCTGCTGTTTCTTTCTCCATTTTTTCTAGCCTTTCATTTGTTTCCCTGCCCCCAACTGCTTCTTTTTTATCTTTTCCCTTAACAAGCAGGACTTCCAGAGCCCAATGGATCCTCCCCCAGTTCTTCCTCCCGGTCCCTCAGTCTGTGAATACCTCTAGGCCCAAGCACTCAGCAGGGGAAGACAGGAATAATCATCGCAGGTTCCTGGCTCAGACTCAGCCCCCAGCCAGGGGAGGGACTCCCAGCACTGGCCTTGCTTAGTCCCCTCCTGCCCCAGGCTCGGCCAGAGGGCACAGGGGTGGGGAAAGAGCAGATTCTCTGCTGCCCAGGAACACGATGCCCTGGGTCCAGACAGGCTGATGGTTTTGTCCAGCGTTTCGGAATCTTTTGGGAGAAGAGGAGAGGTTTCTTTGGCTTCAGCCATAAAAGGGAAGTTGGGTCTCCTGACTTTTGGGAAAATGCTTTTCTACTCGCCACGGCTCCTGCTTTGCTGGAGCCAGAGGAGGGGCACAGCTGTCTTTGTTGGAAGAGCCGAAGTAGCAAAGTGGGAGGGCCAGGCCTCCACCCTGTTTCCTCACCATGAATGGAGAGGAACACCCCTTCCTCTGGGTCCTGGAGCTGGTCCTGAGTGCTCCCTTCCTGCCTCCAGCACCCCAGTTGTCATGCTCCCTCCAGAGCCAGAGGGGACAGGGAGGGGACAAGTCACAGCATGGCCATTGACAGACAAGAGAGAGACACAAGGTTGGTGTGAGCTCCCTGGAAGCCCCAGGATGTGATCTTTAATCGATGCTCCTGGCCTTGCCTCCCCACCCCCAGCCCAGGTGGCATATGTACAGGATGCTGTGTGGAGGCCCAGGCAGAGGCAGCCTCCACTCCTCCCTGGGTTCTGCCAGGGTAGGCACTCGCCAGGGCGGGGCAGGAGGATGCAGACAGCTGGGAGCCAGGGTGGACTGGTCACAGGAAGTCTCATGTTCCCTACCCCATATACATGAGCACACACAGACATGCCCGTGTGTGCAGAGGTATTCACACTTGTGCAGAGATGTGGATCCAAAAGCTGTGCCCAGATGCACTGTACCTGTGTGCACGGGTGCACCACCAGAGGACAGATGCCTTACGGCAGCGCAGCAATAGTGTGACACCCAGCCCTTTCCCCGCCCCGCCTCAACTTGTAGGGCTGGTGGGGCAGAGCTGGCTGGTGGGGGGGGGTCCCTCCACTCAGCCCTTAAGTGGGCAGTGCCAGCTGGAGCTCACTGTGAGGACCCCACTGCTGTCAGGTGCATCCAGCCACCCAAAATGATGTCAGCGGGTCCCAGGCCTGTTTGCCCCTGAGGGAGGTGTGAATAAACAGGGAGCGATTTCCTCCACAGCGCCTCCTCGAAGGTACCCCAGAAACAGAGGGGCTCAAACAGGCAGTTCATGGGCCCTGGGGTGTCAAAACTCCCTGCCGAGTGAGGGCAGGGCACCCCTGGTGACAAGAACTGTATTCACTTGTGGCTTTCATCCATCAGGTAGCTGGCCCCCATCTTGCCCCTGCCAGCTACCTTTTAGGGTCAAGGAGCCAGAGCTCTGCCCTCCCAAGCAAGGTTCATGAGGGAAGGCCACCGGCAGGATTGTGTGAGAAGACTGAGGAGCTGTGCCTGGCTCCACCTGGCTCTCAGGCTTGCTGCAGCAGGGATGGGTTGGGGCAAGTAATGGGGGGAAACATCTGTAAACTTACTACTCGGCCCTGGAATGGGGGTAGGGAGTGGAATGGACTTGATGGGGCCTTAAGGACTTCTAGCAGCCTAGGATCGTCCATGAGACTTCCCTTTCCTACTTCCTCTTGTACATCCCAGGCAGAGCCCCTAACCCTCCAGGCACTGGGCCACTTCTGGCCTTCCCTACCTGGAAGAGTCCTCCCCAGAAAGATGGCCCAGGCGGGGACATCTAGGCCACACCAGGGGGCACCTAAACCCTGAGTCGGCCCCAGAATTACCCTTCTTGAAAGGGGGAAGGTGCCATTTTATTTCAGGAACTATGTTTTCTAGACCCCGCCCCCCCCCAAATCCATGCGTCCTGACAGGGACAGCAGGACAGTTGTTTTAGAATTGAAGACGATCTGGGACATGTGGTTGCCGTGCCCATAACCTAGGCCTTGGGCACAGCACAGGCAGCTTTGGTTTGAATCAGCACTCATACTTCCTCCAAGCTCAGCGGGGCTAAGCGGGGGCAAGCTGGGATGCCCAGCCCCTGCCTGTGCTCAGTGACAGGACTCCGGGCGTGGTCATCCTGGGGGAGGGTCTGGGGGATGGCCACACCTCAGTTTCTCCGGGCCCTCCTGTAAATGTCAAAACATGCCCACATCTGCCCTGGCCCTAGCACCCCCGAGTTTACATTCATCAATTAAGATTCAGTTTTTAAAAATGTAGATGTCAGCCCCGTCCCCCTAGGTCCCAGAGAGGTAAGACCCTGGTCTCAGCTGCCTGGTTGCAAGGAGGGGCCATCCAGGCTAGGTCCACTGATGGCTGCCTGGGGGCATCCCTCCAGGCCCCCCGAGTTGAGCTGTGGCAATCCATGAGATGGAAGCTACATTCACACGGGGGAGTGGGTGTGCAAGGCTGAGTCGCAGGAGGTGGGCGGGGGACTGTGGAGGAAGTGCACCCCAGGCCTGGTCCACCCTGGTGGTGCCAAGGGCAGGGCCACAGCCCCCACCCAAACCCCTGCGGAGCCAGGAGTTGAAGGGTTTGGACCTGGAAGACATTTGCATGGTGCCTCCCTCCGTGGCTGGATGGGGGCAGCCTCGTGGTTCAGGGCCGAGACGGTGGGTGCCAGGCTTGGAGGGAGGGGGGTGGCACTTAGGCCCCTCCAGACCTGGAACGGAGAGGGGGCATCAGGGGAGGACGTGAGCAGGGGCCACGGGGAGAGCCCCCCAGCAGGGTCCCCGGAACTCAGTGCTGGGCCCTGGAGGCAGGCAGCAAGTCACAGGCTGGCCGGGGAAGGGATCTGCGGGAGGTCAGACAGTGGTGACATGGAAGACAAAACAGATGGGACGCACAGGGAGGGCCTTCCCAGGGATGGGGACCGCCAGGGGCACAGCTCCAGTTCCACTTGGTGGCGGGGGAGGGCCTGGCCGCAGCAGGGCAGTCGAGAAGGACGTGGCCTGAGCGGGCGAGGGCAGCAGGGACCTTCTTCCCTGAGCAAGGCTCTCCCACCCCTGCTGGGACAGCCTGGCAGCAGGGGTGGGGGAATCAGCCCCCGTTCCCCATCCACAGAACGCAGGGTGACGAATGAGATGGAGGAGACAAGGACAGCGGGAGGGATGACGTGGCCGGCATCACACTGCCCCCTGCTGGGTCGGGTCGTACCTTCCTCGGCGGATGTTTCTGCAGGGGGGGAGGATGGTGGAAGGGGAGAGGAAAAGGAGACATCTGACCTTCTGCTTCTCTCAGGGAGGGGCCTTTGGCTGCCATGTGACCCCTTGCCCCAGAGCGGGGCCAGGGTCCCCAGGGCCTGGACACTAATGTAAGGGCCTGGGAGAATTACCTAGGGCACCCCAGGTAATTACAAAAATTACAAAAAATTACAAAAATGCATCCCAGGTTCCAGTTCTGACTCCGCCACTAACTCAATCATGTGACCTTGGGCCGTGGGTTCCTCCTCTGAACATTAAGGGGGTTAGACCAGCACAAGGACCCCAGACTTAGACACGCACAAAGCATGATAGGCTGGGTGGGGACTGGGGACCAGAGGACACATGCCTGGCTTGGGCAGCCCCTGCCCAGCTCCATTCTGTGGCTATTCCGGGATGCTTAGAGGCACGCTGGGGCTCAACCTCCTCATGTTTCCAGAGCTGGAAATCCGAACTGCTAGTGTAAAATCTCCTGATTTCTTTTCTTTTCTTTTCCTTTCTCTTTCCTTTCTTTTCTTCTCTCCTTCCTTCCTTCCTTCTTTTCTTTCTTTCTTTCTTTTTTTTTTTTTTTTTAGTCTTGCTCTGTCGCTCAGGAGTGCAATGGCGCGATCTCGGCTCACTGTAACCTCCACCTCCCTGGTTCAAACAATTCTCTGCCTCAGCCTCCCAAGTAGCTGGGATTACAGGTGTGTGCCACCATGGCTGGCTAATTTTTGTATTTTTAATAGAGACAGGGTTTCACCATGTTGGCCAGACTGGTCTGGAATTTCTGACCTCAGGTGATCCATCTGCCTTGGCCTCCCAAAGTGCTGGGATTATAGGCGTGAGCTACCTCATCCAGCCTAAAATCTCCTAGTTTGGAAATGTTAAGCCCTGCAGGCGACTTGGGCCTATGACGTGTGAGCTCTGGTTTAGTTGAGTTTTCAGGGAGGGCCCCTCAGCTCCACCAGTCAGGGGTTCTGACCCTCCCATCAAGGATGCCAGGGGGCACAGGGTGTGTGCGTCTCTTACTTAAATCCCCAGCCCGTGCCACCCAGGACGATGGCTGCAACCAGGACAGCCCCGGCGATGGAGCCAATGATGATGTTGGTGCCGCTGGGACCTGGGGAGAAGGGCAGGGCTTAGTTGGCAAGGACAGGCATAGAGAGTGGGACAGACAGACCCCCCTCGGCCAGCTCCAGCCTCACCTTTATATCTCTCTGTCTCTCCCGTGGGTGGGGACGTGGGCAGGGGGTTGTGGATACTGCAGTCTTTGCCTGTCCAGTCTGGCTGACAGATGCACTTCCCTTCATTGCTGCAGACCTAGAGGCAGGGCAGGGCCAGGAGAGGTGAGCAGGGTCCTGTCCCCTCTTGAAAGCCTTTCCCGCCATCCCAGGCTCCAGGCAGTCACCCCGTGGTGGGAGCAAATCCGGCGCTCCCCACTGCCGGGGCAGGTGCTGAAGTTGAAGGCAGAGGCTGGCAGGCAGCGATGGTCCAGGCACAGCATATTGGGCCCGCAGGCTGTGCCATCCTCCACGTAGCTCAGGTCAGAGCCGTCCGCCAGCTGCACGTGGCCTCCCCTGGGGAAGCGACACAGCCAGCCTCAGCCCTCTGTCTCCTAACCCCCAGCACGGCTGCAACCTTCCCTCCCTAGTCTTGGTCCTGGCAGCACCTGCAGTCCAGCTCCTTGCCCTGGTGGTAGAAGGTGACACTACTGATGTCTCCTACCAGGTCCCCTAGCCGAGGAGCTCCAGAGACGTTGACGCAGAGGAGGAAGCCACACAGCACATCCCTGTTGGGACATAGAGACAGTGAGCCCCAAGTTTGACCTCAAACTCAACTACTGAACTCTAATCTGCCCTCACCCTGCACCCTGCCACCTGATTTGCCACGTTTCCACCCACTGGGACTGACAGGCTCCTCCTGGGAGAACCTGTTGCCCCATCTCTGAAAAGTCTCACACCCACCCTGGAGCTGAAAGGCCCTCTGGGAGCCTCAGTACTCACTGCTTACTGCACTGGACCCAGCCCGATCCTTTGCGCCCACAGCTCCCACGCTCCGTCCCCTCCACGTTCAGCTTCTCATAGCAGAAGCGATCAGCAGCCGCTGTGGGGAGAGGATGCCAAGTGTCACCTCACGCACCCCAGGACCCACCCCAAGACCTCAGGCCTGCATCTCCCACACTCTGGCCTGATCCCCAGGCTGCCTGCCTAGATCTCTGAGATCCTGGGGAGCTATACCCTTGGGGGCCTGTTCAGTTGGAACCCACTCTCCCCAGCCCCTCAGCTCTGGATCCTCTGGAGTCCCCGCTCCTAGCCCTAGCCAGACTCACCATGGCCCCAAAGAGCCTGGCACTGCCGGTCCCGGGTTTTGCAGCGACCTCCGTAGCAGCGGCCCTGAGGGTCCAAGAATTAGGAGACAAGGGATGGAAATGCTGAGTGGTCACAGTGGAGACAAGAGACTGCCCTGAAGCCCAGGCTGAGGGGGCAGCCATCATACCTGCTCATGGTCACAGTAGTAACCGTCTAACTTGTGCAGGTTAGGGGGGCACTGTGGAGAGAGGGGTGGGATTGAGCGGAGCAGCCCCAGGACTGGAGCTGAGGGCTGCCCCACGGAGGAATGCTGGGGTGCCAAGTGCCCCTCATGTGGGGGCTCATGCCACAGGGCTCTTCCACGCCTAGGACAAGCGATCTGTTTCTGGACCCAGACCACCCGGATTTGCAAGCCCCAGAGCCGCTCCAGCCTCCCTCCCTCGTAGGGCTCGGAGATAAATGCCTGGCAAGTAATTAGGTTGTAATAGATGTTAACTAATATTATCATCTACTCTGATCCCTAACCTACACCAGGCACCGGGCCAGGCGCTGGGAATACCAGCCAGACGATACATTCTGGTTTAACGATTGAAGGAACAAAGCCAGGAGCATGAAGAACCCCTTTCTCAGATAAGAAAACTGAGTCTGATCACTGGGGGTTGAAGCCAGCTGTGGAGAGGAGGGGAGTGCTGAGCACTCGCCCGGGAAAACCAAATCGACAAGTTGCCTCGCCCAGGGCTCCACAGGACGGCGGGGCCGGGCGGACCTGGCTCGAGTCCCCGGTGCAGGTCTCCGCGATGTCGCACTCGTTCACGGCCTCTCGGCAGGACACACCCCGTGGCTCGTACTAGAGAAGAGACGCGCTCCCCGGGTCAGGCAGGATGGATGCCTCGGCCCTGCCCTCCCCAGGACGCCCGCTCCCCGGGCCCCCACGTCCCCCGGCCCTCCAGCTCCCCAGCGCCCCTTATTTTCCTGCTCCCACCAACTCTTGGGAGGCTTGTTCTTATTTCCCTGCTCCCACCAACTCTTGGACGCTCCCCACCTCGCTCCCAGCGCACTCAGCACCGCCCCCAAGCCCGCCCACGTTCCCTCCCCTCCTTGCTTCCGGGCAGCCTTCCCTTCCCTCTCCTGGTAGCCCCGCCTTCAACATCCTTCAGTCCCGCCCCTTGCTCCCCATTGGCGCTGTCTTCGCATCAAGCCCCGCCCCAGAGGCCTCCGCCCACGAAGGCTCCGCTTCCCTCCCTAGCTCCCGCCCCTTATCTGAAGGCCTCCAATCGCTCCTTCTGTGTCCTGGCCCCGCCTCCCGGCCGGTCCTCCTTACCTTGCAGCGCCGACAGCAGAGCCCGTCGCTGCACATGGCGTCGTGAGTCAGGGTGCATTTCTTGCAGCAGTTGCCACCTGCGCGGCTGCACTCCTGAGGGACGCGGGAGAAGGGGAGGGAGGCGGGCGAGCCCTAATCCTCCCACTCGGACGCTCCCTCGTGCCCACCCCCGCATCCGGGTCCCCCACCTGGCGCCCACACCACCGCTCACCTGCACCGAGCCGCAGTCGCACTCCTCCCCTGCCTCCACAAAGCCGTTCCCGCACTCTGGGGGGTCCAGGAGCTGGACCGGGAGGACAGGTCGGGAGTCTGACCCGGACCCCGCCCAGGTCCCGCTCCCATGCTCCCCGCCGCGGGGCTGGTACCTTGAGGGGCTTGTTGAAGAGGCAGCTCCCACCACCCTCTTGCAGAAACTGGTTGTACTCGTCGATGCTGCAGCGCGAGAACTTGCGGGGCAGGTAGAATCTGGATAGGGCGAGGGGAGGTGCCGCTGGCTGCTCCCTTCCAACCCACCCTCACCCGTCTCAAGGCTGGGGAGGGGGTACACTGGGGGACTTGGTCACCATCGCGAGGAGGCGGAGGATCTTCCCCGGGATTGCACCAGAATCCTCCCGCCTGTCCCTGTCGCTCCCGTCCCCTCCGCTGAACCTGGGGACTCGCAGCCGCGCTGGAGGGAAGGTGTCTCCATGCGAGGCTTGGGCGGCGCCCAGTGGCCACGGTGCGCACTGCAGCCTGGCTGGTTTTGGTGTCCCAGCAGGGAAATCTGGGTCTCCCGGGGCAGTGTTTGCGGAAAACTGGGCTTCCTGGGACCCTGAGTGGTTCTGTGAGGTGGGCCTCTTGAGCCCCCTGGTCCAGACTGCCAAACGATGCTCGCTCTAAGACTCCCCTCGCCCAAGACCTTCCCCCGGTTTGTCCAAGAACTCACCCAGTGTCCTCCATGATACAGCCCAGCCAGATGTCCGGACACTTGCAGTCCCCTGAGGGGTGAGCCAGGCGGATATGAGGGAGGCCAAGGACCACCCCTCCCACTGACACCCTCCGCGTTCCAGAGCTGCTGGGCGTGGGCCACACGGGGGCTTCCGGGGGGCGGATACCTGCCGAGCTCCGGTGTTTGTTCCACATCATGCCCAGGTTCTGCCCCAGCGTCTGGGCAAGGGTCACGGCCATCGCCCCCATGTTGCCGTACTGGGGGTGGGGAAGATGGGGCACAGATGTCTACATCTTCCAACAGGCACGTCGTGCCCCTGAAGCCCCTTTCCCTCAGCCGCCACCCCAGCCATGTCCCCTCACTGCTCACCTCGTTCACACCCCCGCCCCGGGACAGGGAGCAGATGCCCCCCACGTAGGCTGCCCCGCTGCTGGTGCTCTGGAAAGTCCTGCCCCTGGAAGGCAGTGCACTGTCAGGATGGCCTGCTGGCCTCCCCTGTGGCTCCCCGGGTGGTGGTGGTGCCTTAGGGAGCCCCGCACACTAGAGTCCTTCCTCGGGAGATGAGCCCGGCCCTTTACCTCAGCCTTGGTGACCCCAGGCAAGACCCTTCCCCGCCTCCTTGGGTTCTTGTTTTCTTTTCTTTTTCTTTCTTTCTTTCTTTTTTTTCATTTGAGACAGAGTTTCACTCTTGTGGTCCAGGTTGGAGTGCAGTGGCACCATCTTGGCTCACTGCAATCTCCACCTCCTGCCTCAGCCTCCCGAGTAGCTGGGACTACAGGTGCACACCACCACGCCCGGCTAATTTTTGTATTTTGAGATGGGGTTTCACCATGTTGGCCAGGCTGGTCTTAAACTCCTAACCTGAAATGATCCACCTGCCTTGGCCTCCGAAAGTGCTGGGATTACAGGCATGAGCCATCGCGCCCGGCCCCTTCTTGGGTTCTTTTGCCCATAAGGCAAAGGAGAGGCTCCTAGTAGACCATGTCTAGTTGCAAGGCCCTTTTATTAGATTTTTTCTGCTACCAGGGCACTGGATCCCTGAGGAAGGGATGCTGGGACAGTTTAAAAGGGGAAAGACAGAACTAAGAGAAGGTGAGAGACAGAAGAGGACCACCAGGGCTAAGACAAGGGCATCAACCTCAGATTCAGGGGATGATGCCCAGCCTGTTGCACGTGGCTGGGGGGAGGTGGCAGGTGCAAGGTGAGCCCAGTCCCCAGACACTGAGAGGAGCACCTGGCACAGGGCAGGTGTTAAGTAACCCTAAGCACTGTAGCAACTAGCAGAGGCTGGCAGGAGGTGTGGGGTGGGGGACTCACGAGAAGAGGTGGGTGGCATCGCTAGGCTCAGGCAGACCCTCCCGTCGGTAGACCATGAGCCGGGCCAGGGTCTCCAGGAGGTCATCCTGCACCTGGATCTTGTCCCCATCTGCCCATGTTTCCATGGCAACCAGGACGATGCGAGTGTTGAGCTGCTCCTTGTATATCTGGGTAGAAGATGAGGGGGCTGGAGGGTGGGAGTGGGTGTTGGGGCCAGGGCTGGAGGAGGACCTGTCTCTCCAGGAAGTGGGAGCCAGGGGCTGACGGTGCCCCCTGATGTGTGTGATGGGGTGGGGGCCATAAGGAAGAGGGAAGGAGGGAGGTACAGCTGCTTACCACGTCAGCCAGGTTCACCACGGACTTGGCAAAGTTGCTGGTGAGGACCACCGACTGTCGCATCTGCTCGAACTGGGAGAGAGAAGAGTGCGAGGAGGGCGAGGCTCCTCTGGGGCCTCCTCCCAGTGTCACCCCCCATCCCTGCCCTGACACTCACCAGCTGGTGGTCGTTGATCACAATTAGCTCCACGTACTTGGTCTCACTGTGCACGGTAGGGTGGCCCCGGCGGACCTGGGGGGTGGGTGGGCACTTGGAATCAGTCCCTTCCATGTCTGACTGATCTCATGGCCAAGCCATGGGGATGGGGGGGGTCTGAACTCCAGCCAGGGACAGTGCCAGCTCCCCACTGGCAGAGGGTGCCGTCCTTCCTCAGCTTTGGAATGAGGGCAGGCAGCCTCGGTTTGCCCAGGATGTGACCTCTGTAGATGCCAGCATTAGGGAAGGGGTGGGGGCTTCTCCCAGACACAGTCCCTGGTCCCCAGCCACATCCATCTGAGCCCTCCTTTGCCCCAGCCATGGATGGGGGTGCCCTCCTGCTCTGGGCCATGGCCCGAGGTCTCTCTGCAGCCTGAGGTCTGTGCAGCCTGAGGTCTCTGCAGCCCGAGGTCTGTGCGGGCCCCCGTACCTGCCTTTTCCTTCTCAGCCTCGGCCGGTTTGGAGGAGCCGACTGGGCAGGCACAGCAAACAGGCAGCCTGTGGGGAGGGGGCAGGTGAGGGGGGCACAGCCGGCCCCTCCCCACCCCCCTTCCCTCCCTTACCTAGTTCCCTGCATCCGAGGGGATCTGGGAGGAGAGGGGTCCGGTAAATGAGGTGGGGAAGGGGTCCCTGCAATGAGGGGAAATTAGTTCTTGGGGTGCCAACTGGGTCTGCTCCAGGCCCACTTGGGGGGGCCAGATCCAGTCCTCACCCCCATCCCATCCTGGTGTGACCCAGAACTGGCCAGAGCTCCCATGTCGGATCTGATCTCCCAGATACTCAGATTCCGGGGTCAAGACCTGGGGGCACTCTGAGAGACAGGGGCAAAGGACATTGGAGCCCAATGGGAGGTCACTTAGGGGACAGAAGGGACATTGGAGCTGGGGGCACAGGGGGAGCTGGGGCACAGGAGGGAGGGAACCAGAGCTGGGGTCACTGAAGAGGGCAGTGAAGCTGAGGTTACTGAGGGAGGAGCAGGAGGAGGAAGAGGTGGCAGCAACAGCTGTTGGGACAAGCTTGGCAGAGCCACCAGAGAGGACGGCAAGGGGCTGTGCGGGGCTTACCTGAGGGGCTCCCCAAGGTCCAGCCATGTCTTGGGGCTCCACAATGTAAGTCAAGTTCCCATCAGAGAAGACCCCACTGTGGAGAGAGAGGCGCAGCTCCCCACCGTCCCCAGGCCTGGGCCGGAGGCTTCTCCCAGCTGCCTGGCCCCTCCCGGTACTCACTGCAGCCCCTGGCAGGTGGAGAGGGCAGCGAAGGAGTGCAGGTTCCCCCGGAGCTTCCCCTGGTAGTAGCAGTGGTCTCCAGCCCCCTGGAGGAGCAGAACAGTGAGCAGAACGCTGGCATGAGGCTGGGGGCAGCTGACAGCCTCAAGGCTTTTTGGGGGCCACTGAAGCTGCCCTGTGTGTAGGTGGCCACAATCCCCAAGTACACCTGGGGCTCTGGGGCCTGTTTCTAGATGAGTGGTGCTCCTAATCTGTTGTGCCACCCTGGGCAAGTTCCTAGCCCTCTCTGGGCCTCCTTCACTTCATCTATAAAATGAGGAAGCTGGACTGTAGCAAAGGTTTGTTTTTTTTGTTGTTGTTTTTTTGTTTTTTTGAGACAGGGTCTCGCTCTGTTGCCCAGGCTGGAGTGCAGTGGTGCAATCTTGGTTCACTGTACCCTCTGCCTCCCGGATTCAAGCCATTCTCATGCCTCAGCCTCCCAAGTAGCTGGGATTACAGGCAAGTGCCACCAAATATAGCTAATTTTTCTTTCTTTCTTTCTTTTTTTTTTTTTATAAGACGGAGTTTTGCTCTTTTTGTCCAGGCTGGAGTGCAATGGCACGATCTCAGCTCACTGCAACCTCCACCTCCTGGTTTCAAGCGATTCTTCTGCCTCAGCCTCCCAAGTAGCTGGGATTACAGGCCCGTGCCACCATGCCCAGCTAATTTTTGTATTTTTAGTAGAGATGGGGTTTCACCATCTTAGCCAGCCTGGTCTCAAACTCCTGACCTCGTGATCCACCCGCCTCGGCCTCCTAATGTGCTGGGATTACAGGCGTGAGCCATTGTGCCCAGCCTAATTTTTCTATTTATTTATTTGTTTGTTTGTTTTTTGAGATGGAGTTTCGCTCTTGTTCCCCAGGCTGGAGAGCAATGGCATGATCTCAGCTCACTGCAACCTCTGCCTCCTAGGTTCAAACAATTCTCCTGCCTCAGCCTCCTGAGTGGCTGGTATTACAGACATGCACCACCACACCTGGTTAATTTTGTATTTTTAGTAGAGATGGTGTTTCACCATGTTGGCCAGGCTGGTCTTGAACTCCTGACCTTAGGTGATCTGCCCACCTCAGCCTCCCAGTGATGGGATTATAGGAGCCTGGCCTACAGCAAGGGTTCCTAGCCATTTGCTGGGGCTGGGGAAGGGATCAGACTCCTTTGAGAATAACAGGCAGCATTTATTTAGCACCTACCATGTGCCCAGCACTGCTCTGTGTACTAACCATATATTATCTCATTTAATCATGTACTCGCCCCTAACATCACACACAACCTCATGCACTGCCTCCCAGGACGACCCTGGGCCTGTGGTTGGCTGAGGAGTGATGGGCAGCACGTGTCCTCCAGGCCAGACTTGTGGGTTGGGGCTGGGGGGACCAGCGGCACCCTCCCCCTCCAGCTCTGCCTCCTGCAGAATTACTTGTGCTCCAGTTACTGAACAGGCGGTGGGGGGTGGGGGGGGTGAGACAGGCTATTTATAGACACTCATTCATTTTCAGACTCTAGAGCCTGCAGGGCTGGGACCCTGGTGTCCCAGGCAGCTGGGATTTTCCGGGGCCTTGGTACTGAGTAAGAAGGGCCTTTCCTCAGCTGCCCCTCTCAGGAGAGTCTGGAGAGGGGGATTCCTGGCAGCCGGCTCGGAACAATGAGGGTCCCTGTAGGCCCCACGCAAGGCAGGTGGGCTGGCTGGGAGTCAGAGCTCTGGGGCCAAGTGAGGGGAGCTCGGGGCCCCATGCACTCAAGCTGCCCACTGTCCACGTTCAGAGCCTCTCGGGTCGGGAGAGAGGGAAGGTGCCGAGGGGCCAGGCCCAGGACCCCATCTCTAGCAGCCACCTGTCCCTATACCTGTGACCACAGAGCCAAAGAAACAGCACCTCCCTTCCACCCCTGGCCCCGGTCCCTGCAGAGGCACTCACGGTGCTGTGCTGGGTTGTTCCCTCCCGGCTGAAGTGGCGCTCCACGTATTGCGAGGAGAGGAGGTGGCTGAGACAGAGGGGGCAGCAGGAAGGGGGGTCACGGGCGAGGTGAGGTCTGGCTTGGGGCCCGCCCCAGCTCAGGATCCAGGTACCCCCTGCCCTGGCCCAATCCCCAGCCCCCCAGCAGCCAGGCCCTCGCCATGCCTCCCCCACCCCACCACCACCCTTCCTCCTGGGCTCAAGGCCACACTCACTGGTTCAGCTCCAGGTCCAGGGTGAAGTTTGAGTTGAAGGCTGGGATGACGAAACTCACCTGGGCCAGATGGACAGGCTGGTGTGGGGGGAGGGCAGAGGGGGAGTCAACTCAGGGAGGCCTGAAGGTGGGAGTCGGGGGGACCCCGAGACAGACAGTAGCCCTGGGAGGGGGTGGCCAGCCCTAGCAGCTGAGGGGACCATTGATTTGGGGACGAGATGCTTTGCCCAAGCTCCTCTTCCTCCACGACCCTGCTCCTTCACTAGTGGGCAGAGGCAGGAGTGCTCAGCCCTGAGCACAGCCCCCTTTCTGCCCTCTGGGCCTGGGCACTTACTTGTGCATCGGGGGGCTGGGCTGCAGGTGCGGTCGGGATGGAGAGGGCCAGCCCCGCCAGCCCTCTGCCTCATTATGCTCTCCTGGCCGGTGAGGGGCACCCCACCATCAGGCAGAGTAACAGGAGGGCCCCAGGAGTATCATGGGGAAAGGACAAACAGGAAGTGGGAGACAGGACCCTTGCTGCCTGTTCCCCTACCCTGGCGCCAGCCTCTATCTACATAGGAGGCCTCAGACAGGGGCGAGTGGGTGGGAATGGATGGTTGCACCTCTGGAAACTGGGCGACAGGCGGGTGCCATCCTGTTGGGAGGAAGGACTTGGCTCCTCTACCCCCAAATCCATTGCCCTCTGCCTTGCCCAAAGCAGCTCATCTTTAATATTTCAATCCCATGGTTAATTTTTAAACACGGAAGTTTTCCTGATAAATTTTTCAAAGTGCAGTGAGGCTGGAGGCTCCAGGTTGCCATGGCAATGCACCAGGCCTGAGCAAGATGGCGGCCCCCCAGGCCTGGGCGCTCGAGGACGCCCGGATCACGGCAACCCCAGGGCCCAGGAAGGGCTGAGAGGACTCAGGAGTGGGGCCTTCTCCCTACCCCTTGTTCATTCCAGAAGACTGACTCCAGACCCCCCACATGAGGGTCACCCACTCTGCCCTGCAGATGGGAGGCTTTTGTTCGCCGCCTGGCTTTGGTGGTGGGGACGGCAGGTTGCAGGAAGGAAGACAGCCCCAAGATCACGGTCATGAAATCCATAGCCTGTGCCTTGTCGTTCTTCCTCCTCAACCACCTCATCACTGCTAATCTTTACCGAGCACTTCTTGTGTGCCAGACCCTGGTCTAAACACTATGAGTATCGCCTCGTTTGATATTCACAGCAACCCTATGGGATAGATTACTGCCATTCCCATCTGAAAGATAGGGGACAGGCACAGTGGGGCTGACTAACTTGCCCAAGGTCACACAGCTAAAAAGTGGTGGAGCTAGGGAGTCTGCTTCTAGGGCTGTCTCACCTCAAAGGTGGGGTAAAAGGGAAGTGGGCCCAGTGTCCATGAGAGGTCCTGAGAGAGGACCAAGGTGGGGGCCAACGGCCAGGGCCTGGGTGAGCAGACCTCTGCGCCCCAAGGACACCGACTCATCCTATTCCAGGCTGACCAAGGCTCCCAGTTCCATCCTGAGCCCCTAGAGCATCGATCAGCCCGAAATAGAAAGTCAAGGACAAGGAGTCGCCACATCCTCTTCCCGGCCCATGGCCTGAACCATCCTGGCCTTCCCCTGCCCCCGGGACTGTTCCTGCTTGTTCTATCTGCCCTCCACCAACAAGCCCCTATGCCAGCCCCCTCCACAGCTGCCTAGAGGAGCAGCCTGCCAGATCCCTTGCCCCGATGCCGCTCTCTCACCGTGCAGCCTCAGGGATGACCCAGCAACCTCTCCGAGCCTCAGATTTTCCCACTGAAAATGGTCAGATGAGCCCAGATGCGAGGCCAGGAGGTTGGCTGTGTAGTGGGGCCGTCCTGGGCCTGGAGATTCCGGCAGAGTCTGCCCTGGCACCAACAGAATCTCCCTCACTCAGGAGGTCTGTGAGCCATCCCATCGAGCCTGCTTCCTCTCTGTAGAGGCCAAGCCAGCCCCAATTCTGGGGAAAGCCCCAGCTGACAGGGGAGCAAGGCCAGATACTTTAGGACCCTCCTTGTCTACCACCTCCTGCCGCCTGCTGAGCTCTCACACCCCTTCCCCACCTGGTGCAGCTGAACTTCAGGGGTGGGCTGTCCCCTGCCCCAGCGGGACACAGGGCTTAGACCAGATAAGCCCCTGGGGCAGTGCCGGGGCAGGTGGGGCTGGGGGCTGGGCATGGCTGGAGGTGGCCCAGGAAGGGGCTGGGAGAGTCCCCAAAAGGCAGTGGGAGAGAGAGAGAGACCACATACCAAGGCATGTTTGCCTGGCCTGGCCCCATGTGGGGACACAACTCTGTCCCTAGTCTGAGGGAAGAGATGGGTCAGACAGATCTATCTCAGTCCCCAGAATCTCTGTGGCCCGGGCCCTGGCACCGCCCCAAGCCCAGCTGTAGGCCAATAATGTTCTTTTTTTTTTTTTTTTTGAGATGGAGTCTCACTCTGTCGCCCAGGCTGTAGTATAGTGGTGCGATCTCAGCTCAATGCAACCTCTGCCTCCTGGGTTCAAGCAATTCTCTGCCTTAGCCTCCCGAGTAGCTGGGATTATAGGCACCATGCCTGGCTAATTTTTTTGTATTTTTAGTAAAGACAGGGTTTCACCATCTTGTCCAGGCTGGTCTTTAACTCCTGACCTTGTGATCCACCGTTGGCATCCCAAAGTATTGGCATTGCAGGTGTGAGCCACCCTGCCCGGCGAATGTTCTTTTTTAAAAATTAATTAAGTTTTTAGAGATGGGATCTCACTATGTTGCCCAGGCTGATCTTGAACTCCTGGGCTCAAGCCATCCTCCCGCCTCAGCCTCCCAAAATGCTGGGATTACAGACTTGAGCCTCCGTGTCTGGCCTGAGTCAATGCTCTATCAAAGCCAAACAGAGTTCCCTGCCTGGCCCTGCTTTGTACCCCTGCCCTGCCTCTGACCTCATCCCATTGTCCCTCCATCCCTGGGGGGAGGGGCCTTTTCGTCTTGAGGTCACACCAGCCCTCAGCTGACCCTGTGCCCTGCACTTGTCTCTTGCTCCCCCGGCTGCCCAGGCTCTCACATGCTCCAGCTCATTTGATCTCAGCCTGCCCAGGCTGTCTGGTCCTCATTTTACAAATGCCAGGATGAGGCTCAGGGAGACACCTGGAGGTGACTGACCCAGGGTCATGGCTGGGTGGCTGGGGAGGTGTGGGGCTGGATCTCACCCTGGGGCTGGAGTTCGGTTGTCACAACAGCTGTGACCGCCTGGCAGGGGTGACCACCCCTTCCACCTGAGTCTCCTCTCTGGCTGGCCCACCCAGTCTCCTAGACATCTGCTTCACAGGGACGGTGCCTCGTCCTCTCTGTACCAGATGCGGGGTGCAGAGAGAGAAAGGCAAAGATTCTACTGAATACCCAGAAGCACAAATACAGGTGCCTGGGCTCTGCCCCAGACCTACAGACACATAGTCTTAGGAAGGGGGCTAAGAAGCTTTAGGATTCCCAAATGCTCCAGGAAATTCGAGAAGGGAGACCATTGCTCCCCACCACCTCCAGGCACAGCCCCTCATGTGCTGACTCCAAACTCCTGCCCTGACCTCCCTCTCCTCCCCACCCTCACCTGCACGGCCTGCACCTGCCAACCCATGCAGGGCTTTGGCGCCCTCTGCCTCTGGGCCTTTAAGCACACAGTAGACATACACTTACTTGATCACTGATTTGGCTTTTCAGGTGGGCGACCTTTAGTCCCCTGGAGCAAGGGCTATGCCTGCTTTTTTCCCTGCCCACGGGCTCAACACTCACATTGAATGGAAAGGCATCGCAAGGCCTGAGATAAGCTGCTTCATGCCCCCGGCCTCAGTTTTCCCCTCGGTAAAACAGAATTGTTGGCCAGGAGCGGTGGCTTGCGCCTGTAATCCTGTCACTTTGGGAGGCCAAGGTGGGCGGATTGCCTGATCTCAGGAGTTTCGAGACCAGCCTGGGTAACGTGGTGAAACCCTGTCTCTACTCAAATACAAAAGAAATTAGCCGGGCGTCGCAGTGCGTGCCTGTAATCCCAGTTACTCGGGAGGCTGAGGCAGGGGATTTGCTTGAACCTGGGAGGCGGAGGTTGCAGTGGGCCAAGATCGTGCCACTGCACTCCAGCCTGGGCGACACAGCAAAAAACTCTGTCTCTACAGAAAAAAAGGAAAAGAAAAACCAGGATTGTTGTGAGGATTAAATAAAAGCCCTTTTGAATGTGTTATCATAAGGGTCAATAAGAAGAAGGAAGTGTAAATGTTCCAGCTGAACAGGGCTTTGAGGAACTGGATAAACGACCTCTTTGGATCACCTACTGTGACAGGGACATGCCAGAACAGTGGCCTTATGCTCCAGATCTGGGTGGATGGTGTGATTTACCTGTCAGGTGTCTCACCTGAGGATGTCTTTCTGGAATCTCCTCCCACAAGGAGATACCACCACCTTGTGGGCCGGGTGGCTGCAAACTGGGGAGGAGCCGGAGAGGCAGGAGCTCCGCCTGGGAGTATGTCCCAGCTGGGAGAGACCCCCCCCCCACCCACCTGCCAGCTCCCCCTACCCGCCCCTGGCAATGCGTTGGGTGCTCCATTTATCAAGAGGGCAGCGGGATTCCCAGACAATGAGAACATCCAGACGAATTTCCAATGATGGGATTTGACCTACATTTTTGAGAACAGAGCCACCTCCTTACAGGGTCATCAGTCCCTCTGGGAACAGACTCTGGACAGCTGAGTCCCTCTAGGCAGCCGGGAGGGTGCTTGGGTGAGGCCAAGCCCACAGGCCAGAGTCCTGCTCATGTAGTTTCTCCCCTGGACCCCGCCTGAGCCTGACAGGTAAGCCCTAAATATCCTGGCTCCTGTTTCTCATACCCAGCCCTCATGCCAGCACCAGGGCCCAGCACCCTACCTGGACACTCAGAGATGTTGACCATCGGCTATTTTGCCAGATCTCAGGCTGGACTCCTGACATTCGTCATCTAAAGTCCTCATAGCAGCCTGAGAGATGGGAACTATGAGCATATTCCCATTTTACGAATGAGGAAGTTGTGGTTTAGGGGGCTAAGTGGCTGGCTCAGGTCACACAGTCAGAAGCAGGGGAGCAGGACCTGCACTAAGGCTGTGCCACCTCAAAGCCACAGTGTGCAGCCTCTAACACCAAAACTGAGCCTGCTCAACTCTCTGGCATGGCAGGGCTCAGTTTATGCCCCCACCTCCCTCCTGGGAACAAGCTGGGCCCAGCACATATCCTAGCCCTGGCTTCTAGCTGCCTGCCCCAACCTAGGAGAGAGCCGCAACTTTGGCCACACACACTATAACGTGGCCTTGGCTCTAGTGGGGTATCAGGGCCCCAGGCACAGACCCTGGTCCCCCTGTGGCACCCTGCCGGCCCATCTTCAAGAGCTGGGGGCGAGCCTTATTCAACTGCCTTCCACCTTTCTGCAGGAAGAAAACACAAACACTGTTGCAGCACACGCCCACGGTGGAGGGCTTCTAGGGTGGCGTTTTCAGTAAATGTTGGCCTGGGCAGCTCTCGCAAGAGCTTACCCCAGAGACTGAGGCGCTCCTCCCCTAGCTGGCTCAGATGAGCTTCTATGTACCAGGTCTGCGACCTCCTCACCCCTGACCCTAATCACCTCCCCATGTCCTGCTCTCTCCTTGTTCCCAAGGAGTCTGGGTCGCCCCGGGGGCAGGCATAACCCACACAGCAGCCTGGTGCGAATCAGAAAAAGGGGTCCCAAGGCCAGGTGAGGTGGCTCACGCCTGTAATTCCAGCACTTTGGGAGGCTGAGGCTGGTGGATCACTTGAGGTCAGGAGTTCGAGACCCGTTTGGCCAACATGGTGAAACCCCGTCTCTATTAAAAATACAAAAATTAGCTGGAAGCGGTGGTGTACGCCTGTAATCCCAGCTACTCAGGAGGCTGAGGCACAAGAATCGCTCCCTTGCTGGGAGGCAGAGGTTCCAGTGAGCCCAGATCATGCTGCTGCACTCCAGCCTGGGTGACAGAGCGAGACTCTGGAAAAAAAAAAAAAAAAAAGAAAGAAAATGGGGTCCCCCTGCAAGTCAGAATGCATGTGGCCCCATAAGCCCACGGATTGCATTCAGCTCACTTACCCCTTGCCCAGTCACCCTAGTCCAGTGAACAACCAGCCCAACTGTACATGGTAGTTTTGTCTGACCTGTACCACGCCTCAGCTGCAGGCTCCCTGGGACCACAGGTTTCTGCCCTCCCAGAAGCTCCCCCACTTCTCTGGGCCTCAGGCCTAGCCTGCTTCCAGGCTGGACAGAAGTGAGGGGGTTGCGTGCAGTGGCAGAGAGAGGGCAAGGGTGCGTCTGTGTCTCTCTTCCCGTCAGCCCAGAGCAAGAAGTGGCAGTGCGCTGAGTGAGAGCCCTGCTTTGGGGATCAGTCTTGACTCCGTGCTCAAGTGCTGTGTCACTTGGGGCAGTTACGTTGCCTCTCTGTGCCTGTTTCTCCATCTGCGAGATGGGAGTAACAGCCCCACCTCTGGGAGCTGTGTTGAAGATTAAATAATTACACGTAAAGGAGTGCCTGCTGCAAAAAGGCCTAGTCAATAATTACAATTTCTCTACCTCGTTCTTTCTGTTGTCGTTGTTGTGTTGTGTGAGACAGGATCTCACTCTGTAGCCCAGGTTGGAGTGCAGTGGTGCAACCATAGCTCACTGCAGCCTTGAACTCTTGGACTCAAGCGATCCTGCAGCCTCAGCCTCCCGAGTAGCTGGGACTACAGGTGCGCACCACCATGCTTGTGTAATTTTTTTTTTGGTAGAGACGGGGGTCTCATGATGTTGCCCAGGCTAGTCTTAAACTCCTGGTCTCAAGCAATCCCCTAACCTTGGCCACTGTGAGCCAATGCACCTAGCCTAATTTCTCCAGCTTCTAATTCCTTCCCAACCACTGTAACTCTTCCTCTGTCCCAGCCGCACCCCCACCCTCGCCCCCATCAAGCCAGGAATCCTCAGCACATAAAGCCCTTTCCCATCACCACCTCCTGAGAGTAGGTGGGACTGAGATATGTTACCATCCTGATTTTAGGCAACAGGAAACTGGGGCTCCGAAAAGTCAAGCGACCAGCCCAAAGCCACAGCGGCTCAGCGCTCCAGGCCCTGCCAGCCAGCATGTGCCCCTGGACTTGATACATGACCAGAGATCTTGCTGCCAGCTCAACACCAGTTGAGCCTGAAGTTCCAAACCAGGGCAGTAAGTTAAGGCAAAACCCAAGCAGTGCTCGGCTAGGGTACTTCTGGCTAGGACACGCACAGGCTCAAGTTCGCACTGAATCCACCATCAGACTCCGTGGCTCTGAGGCCAAAAGCGCTCTAACCCCGGGAGAAATGCCAGGCAGGAGATTGAGGGTTTGCCATATCTCCTTCCCATTAGGGAAAATATTCTGGATGTGTCTTTTTGTCTCCTTGCTCTGGGTGGAGTTGGGAGACTGCCTCCTGGACCCAAATCCAGAGAGCCCTGGAGGCAGAACTGGGAAGTGCCCTGGTGTGGAGAAAACTCCCAGCTCCACTGCTTAAGATCTGATTGACTTCGGGCAATTTACTTCATCCCTCTGAGCCTTAGTTTGCTCATCTGCAAAATGGGGCTGACCAGAGTTATAAGCTGCCGGGCACAGTGGCTCATGCCTGTAATCCCAGCACTTTGGGAGGCTGAGGTGGGCGGATCACCTGAGGTCGGGAGTTCGAGACCAGCCTGACCAGAGATGGAGAAACCCCATCTCTACTAAAAATACAAAAAATTAGCCAGGCGTGGTGGTGCACGCCTGTAATCCCAGCTACTCGGGACGCTGAGGCAGGAGAATCGCTTGAACCCAGGAGGTGGAGGTTGGGGTGAGCAGAGATCACACCATTGCACTCCAGCCTGGACAACAAGAGTGAAACTCCATCTCACACACACACACACACACACACACACACACAAAGTTACAAGCCTTACAAAGTTGTGAGAAATAAGTGATGTAAAGTGCATACAAAGCTTGGCAGAGTGGCCCATAGAAGTCCACAGCTTTGGGACCTCAGGGGAAATTGAGGCACAGATAAGACAGGGCCCCAAACAAGTCCCTTGAGGAGGTTGCCACGAGGGCCCTAGGAAGTCTCAATCCCAGAAGACCCCAAAATTGGAGATAATCACTGCCTGGCAGATCCACGGAACTCCATTTCCTCCCCCCAGGCTCTTAGACACCCCTCAGAAGTATCTGGAATCGGTGGATCACACACACAACTCACATGCACCCACTCACCTGCAGAAGAACACAGAGACCCCCAGCCTAACCAGTTCAACTGCACCCATCCTGACCTTCCCACGCAGCTGCAGACACCACCACAGCCCAGAACCTCCTACCCTTTGCCGCCTCTGTCTCTGCTCAGAAAGGGTCCGGCTGAAGGAGCGACCTGTCCAGTTGGAATACCTGACTTTTCATCCCTACCTGACTCCAGGCTTTCCCTCGTCTCTGTCCCCTGACCCCACGGTGGCATCCCTCCATGACTCAATCTGCATATCCCTTAAAGCACAAGCCAGAGTCCCAGCAGTCGGGTGGACCATCAGTTCCTCCACAGTGTAACCATGGGGTTCACAGTTCACAGGTAGCGAGTGACACCAGGCAAGACAGCCAGACTCAGTGGCCAGGACACCCCATCCCTGGCCCTGGGACCACGCACCTCCCAGGGAGCCTGGGCAGTCACTGAAGGCAGCTTCCACCCACCACCCCACCCCCAGTGCCCGCGGGCCTCGGACCATTAGCCCCCTCCCCCTGCCCCTCTGCACGGCCCTGAGTGATGGTCCATCTATTATGCATGCTCCCTTCCTGCTCCATCCATTTCATCAGTATTCCCCACCCCTGTACCACCCCGCATCCCCCTCTGCTCCCCTCCCTTAAGGGCTTTTAACCAAGTACATTAGGCAGGGCCAGATGCCAGTCTGACAGATGTCCGTAATGTTAGCCTCCGTTTCCCTCCTTCCTCCCTCTGCCCAGCCCAATTTACCTCCCACCATTCCCAGCTGCCAAAACTTTCCAGGCCTCAGTTGTACCCCTCCTCTGGGTCTCTCCCCTACACCTCCTGTTTGTGCCGGGCCTTTGCCGGCCAACCCGCCCTCTGCTGCCCTGTTGGCCTGGCTCACTTTCAGCTCCAGCTCTTGGAGCACTGGGGCGTGCTGAATGAATATTCCATCTGGGTGATTATTATTCACATGATATTAATTAATTATTAATTGCAATTAATCTCCTTCATGCCTAACCTTCCTCTGGGAGGCAGGTGGGGCTTGGCAGCTGAAAGGGACAGTGGGCAGGCAGGTAGAGCTGGCTTGGGGCCTCGAGTTATTTTCCAAGGCCCCACCTTCAGCCAGGACAGGAAGGAGAACAACAAGCCTATCTGGGCACTGTGTGGAAACTGAGGCAGCAGCAAGCACTAAGCTGTTCCAAGAAAGCCCACTGAGGTGGCTGTGATGAGAACCTGGGAACCCTAATCCCTGACTGGAATCTGGGCTGCCTCTCCCTGCCCCCGCACTTGCCCCATCCAAGCCCTGTTTTGAGCAGAACCACTAGCTTTGGCGAGAGCGAAGCAGGGGGCCATTGGAAGGCTGACCCAAAGCGGGCCTGAGACCTAGGCATTAGGGGTCCCTGAACACTGAGGACAGGGGGCCTGCAATAATGGGAGGGGGCCTTGGGGTTGGGCAGTCCTGGGATCCCCACCAGTGGGCTCCAGCACCCACCTGATAGCCCACTGTACGGAAGGGGACTCTGCGGGGCAGCTGCTGAGGAGGGCTCCAGCCCTGGCTACCCCGTGGGCTCTCAGGGGCTCTAAGGCCTGCTTTAGCCCCTGGTCTCACCACCCAGCCACACTCACCGGGCCCCCTGGTGGCTCCTGGCGGACCCTGGTGTCCAGTTGCTGCTTTCGGACCTCTCCCCCCGAGCTCTCCCTGACCAGACGGCTGGGTTCCGTGACCTCAGGGGCTCCTGGGCCCCCCAGCTGGGGTAAGCGCCCCCATCGCAGAGCTCCAGCAGAACCTTCGGTCCCAAGACCTGGGGAAACAAGGCCATGGCTGCAGGCAGCTGCCCATCCTGGGGCAGGAGACTTGGGAAAGGGGGGGACAAGCTGCATCCCCCACTCTGGTGTGGCCCCTGGAGCCCTAGGGCGATCCGGGTGGGGAGGATCTGGCTGCCCTGCAGAGGCAAGAGCCCGCGGGGAGGGGGCCAGGAGCTTTACGCCCGCCCAACCGTCACGACTGCCCCCCCATCCGCCCAAACCCGCAGAGACCTGCAGAGCTGGCCGGTCGG